TCCACACACAACCAACGCCAGTAGCCACGGAACTACCATTGGCTCAGGAACTGGGTCCCTTGGCTATGGAACTCGTTGCACCGTCCGAAAGACCCAGGGCTTCCCAGGGTCAACAGGAACGACAAGGGCACACCATGCGCACACGTCGTAAAACTCGGGGCACGGGTGAACAGTTCTTTGCACTTACTGCAACTGCTGATCCCACCTGTTACTCACAAGCTATGGGACATCCTCAATGGCGTGATGCAATTGACCTAGAGTTCAACGCCCTACTTCACAACAACACTTGGCGGCTAGTACACGCAGACCCGCGTATGAATATCATCGGCTGCAAATGGGTATACCGCACCAAACGCAAAGCTGACGGGTCAATTGAGCGCTATAAGGCGCGACTGGTTGCCAAGGGGTTAAACTAAGTAGCCGGGGAAGATTTTTTTAACACTTTTAGTCCCGAGTCAAACCGACTACGGTTCGATTTTTGTTTTCTCTTGCAGTGTCAATCAATTGGACATTACAGCAGCTGGATGTCCACAATGCCTTCCTCAATGGGCACCTATCTGAAACTGTTTTTATGAAACAACCTCCAGACTATGAAGACCCGACACATCCAGACCATGTCTGTCACTTACAACGATCCCTATATGGCCTCAAACAAGCACCACATGCGTGGTTTAATCGGCTCCATGAGTTTCTCATTTCTGCAGGTTTCTTGGCGTCCAAGACTGATGTGTCAGTTTTTCATTATACCGCCGGTACTTCCCGGGTTTTTCTGCCGGTTGAGGTTGATGACATCATCATGATGGGCAACGACCTAGCACTCATTACCACATTGCTACACCGCCTATCCACTACCTTCAAGATTAGGAACCTTGGATTCCCGAGTTTTTTCTTGGGTAGTGAAACTCTCAAGGCCAATGACGACCTCATCCTGTTTCAACGCCGATATATGGGGGATATTTTAACCCGCACAAGGATGTCTGACTGCAAACCCCTTGCAACACCAGCTACGGTCACTCAGCCGGCTACTCCATCAACTCAACCATTCGTCAACCCAACGCAGTATCGTCGGCTCGTTGGGGCTCTACAGTATCTAACCATCTCTTGGCCGGATCTCTCCTTCGCCGTAAATTGGCTATGTCAGTTTATGCATTCCCCCACCGATGACCACTAGGATAACTGAAATGTGTCTTACGATACGTTGAAGGCACACATGACTACGGTTTACACCTCTTGGCTTCGGCATCTTCTGACATTCATGCGTTCTCAAATTCAGACTAGGCTGGTTATCCAGTTGATAGGAAGTCTACCAGTGGTTATGCAGTATTCCTCGGGTCTAACCTCATCTTGTGGGTCTCGTGCAAACAGCGCACGGTAGCCCGCTCTTCAACCGAAGTCGAGTACAAAGGCCTTGCTGATGTCTCTGCCGAGGTCACTTGGGTTGTCACCTTACTCCGCGAGCTTGATCTCCATTCGGGCAAACTGGCAACTCTGTGGTGCGTCAATCTCGGATCCACTTACTTAGCCGCCAACCCAGTCTTTCATGCGCGGACTAAGCACGTGGAGATTGACTTTCACTTCGTCCGGGACAAGGTAGCATCAGGTGATTTTCTCGTCAGTTTTATGTCCACGAAGGACCAACTTGCTGATATATTAACAAAGCCGCTCCTGTCATTGCATTTTCAGGCTCTTCGAGACAAGCTCAATGTTGTATCCCTCCAACCTTGTGCTTGAGGGGGTGTGTTAGTAATAATATTATAGTCTATAGTTTATAGGTTAGTGGTGATAGTTTAATTCACTTTTCCTAGCTTATTCTATAGGAGCCTTTTGTGTCCCCTTCTCCTATAAAACTCTACTATTGTAACTGTATTGGTTAATTGAATTCAATACAGATCGACTTACTCTCATCAATCTAAGGTTTCATATTGTATGAGATTCTTGGCTTCATGTCACTCTAAATTTTGATGATTTTAGATAATTCTTAATGCTCTCTTGCTTTTGTTAAGTTTTGTTCTCACTCAACTGCAGGAAAACAAGATAGTCTTACATGTATCTATGAAATCATGAGTATTACAACACCTCAAGCTCCTTACGGTGATAATTTTCAAATGTAATCTTTTAATTTACACATGAAACAATTAATGGAAAAAAAATCATCATCAATGCAACGAACAGTGAGATAGCACAATACTCTTTCACCATATGAGAAAGTTTATTCTTCAATTGGAATTTTAATTGAGAATAACTTATATTGGACGATTTGTTATGATTGTTTCATTTTCAGCTTGTTGAAAGGTTGTTTAGATCACTACATATTGCCTGTGTTAAGTGTGGGAAGGTAAAATCAATGTACTGTATATTTCACACTCTTGAAATACTACCAAAGAATTCAAAACAAAGAAAAGACTAGGCTAGGAGGAGAGCTCTAACTACCTCCTCAATTCTCTAACACCCCTTATTCTTCTAACACTGCTCCTCAAGTTAAGCATAAATTTCAATCATGTCCAACTTGTTACTAATAAACTCAACCCTAGCCTTAATAAGACCTTTTGTGAACAAATCTTCTAACTGATCACCGCTTCGAACATGAACGGCAGAAAGAAGCCCTTGTTGAACCTTGTCCTGTACAAAGTGACAATTTACTTCAATTTTCTCATGAAACACAAGTTTTTTTGAAATGTGTATAGCTGCTTTATTGTCACAACACAAAGGAACCAATTTATTCACTTCTACACCAATCTCCCAAGAACATTACACATTCACCTTACCTCATAGGCTACATGGGTCATCGCTCTATACTCAAATTCAGTACTAGAGCGAGTCACAACACTCTGCTTCATACTCTTCCACGAGACTAGATTGCCACTAGAGGATACACAATTTCCGGTTGTGGACATCCTGTCACTTGGTGATCCAGCCCAATCAGCATCCGAAAGGGCTTCAACACTTACATGCCCATGATTGACATACAAAGTTCCTTTCCTAGGAGCACCCTTCAAATACTTTACAATTCTAATTGCCACTTCCCAATGACGTTTAGTAAGGAATGCCATGAACTGACTCAATACAGTCATTGGAAAGGCAACATTAGGACGAGTAAGAGTAAGATAGTTCAACTTACCAGCCAGTCTCCTATACCTCTCTGGGTCATCAAGAAGCTTCCCCTCACCAGCTACAAGTTTAACACTCTGGTCCATAGGAGTCAGGGTTTCGACCATAAGAGCCCAGAGTCTTCAAGTAAATCTAGCACATATTTTCTTTGTGAAAGAAATATGTCTCTCTTAGAACGAACAACTTCAATCCTAAGGAAATACCTCAACACCTCCAGATCTATCGTATGGAATTTCTCTTTAAGAAAAGACTTGAGCATTTGTAAAACACTATATCATCATCGGATTTTCTCTTCGCATCATCACCTGTTATATATCAGTATATCATCAACGTAGACAGTTAACAAATTAAAATACTACCATGGTTAGAGTGTTTGTAAAACAGAGTATGATCATAGGCACTACCACGCATGCCAAACTCATGAACTTGAAATAAAATTATAGGGTATGTAGGAACAACTAATCACTCTTCAAGTACTTGGTTAGTCGGTTCATGCCCATCTCATAAATATTTGTAGATAATATACAATTCCAAAATTTTGAGTCTCACAGCTCTCGAGACTCCTCTTTTCTTCCCTATCAATGTGGGACAAATACAATGAGAGCTTAGATGCAAGCTTTCTATATATGTTTTTTATATACATAATTTTATTGTTATATAATACATATATTATTATTATAATTATTATAATCAGTGTTGCAAAAATCGTGCCTAGGCGCCAATTAGGCGCTAGGCGGTGGGAGGCCGTCGCGAGGAATGGCCTGGGCGGCCTCCTCCGCGGCCAGCCGCCTAGACCGCCTAACCGGCCGGTTTGGGATTTTTTTTTTTTTTTTTTTTTTTTTTTTTTGTTGAAAATGTGGAAAAAGTTCCGTAAGGCATAACTTTTGACTCGGTTGTCCGATTTGGACAATTTTTTTTTTTCAAATCGCGTATTTTTTCAAAGGCGGTTTGGTCCACTAATTTCTCAAAAAAATGCTTCTTTAGCTCTTAATTTTAGTTTTTTTTTTTTTTTTTAGTTTTTTTTTTTTTTTTTTTTTTTTTTTTTTTTAATGTATTTAGATGGTTTAAACAATCTTTTGAGCAATTTTACAACCCCTTTTGTAAATAGTTTCTAAGAAATAACTATGGAAACCTTATGTTTTATTACTAAATTTTGAAAATTTTTAATTTTTAATTTTATTTTAATTAAAACAAAAAAAAATAAAAAAAATATAAAATATAAAATTGGCGCCTAACGTTTTTTTGCAACATTAATTATAATAATATTATAATAATAATTATTAAAAGGATGAATCGTGTGCATGCACTTCAACTTTGTAATATCATAGGTTTCCTAAAATTCTTAGTGCTCTATTGTTCAAATCCATTTTATCTTATGAGATTGATGTTACCCTGCTTCAAGCACTTTTTTTTTTCTTCATAGGAGATTGATGCTCCTAGTACTGTTGTTTATCTACATTTTATCCTTGGAGACTGACGCTACAACGCGCCTAACACCTTTGTTTATCTTGAAAAACTGATGTTACAATTTACAACACTTCTAGCACCTTTGCTTATGTTCATTTTATCTTGGGAGACTGGCGCTACAAGCTCATGCACGTACTCTTCAGAGGTAACGAATAAATTTTATGAAAATATGTGTGACACAACTTAAATTTTATTCTTTGAATTGACTGTTCCGCTTGCTTCTACTTAAATAAATTTCCTACGTCAAGGACAATCCTTATTCGTCAAAGTGGATAAGGCCAGGTCATTGACTTTGAGAAGACTAATGAAAATGATTAAATGGTTCACGGCAGAAATTATTTGCAGAGTTGTTAAATATATTAGCGAAAATTATTGTTTTATGTAGATGGACTTGTACTTTTAAACATAAATTATATAATATCAATGGTCTTGTAGCTTAGTTGGTTAGAGCGTTGGTCTTATGAGTTGAAGGTTGCGGGTTCGAGCCTCGCTAAGACCATAGAATTTTTTGCTCCCCTCAGTTGGTTAGAGCGTTGTACTTTACGTATAGGGTTTATCTAAATTTCAATTATTTGAATACCCCTCTGTATTTAGTCATCATACTTTCCACAACACTTTATTTATAGGGCTTTATCTCAATCTCAATTTAGTTTTCATAACGTGTTAAGCCAACCCATGATGTTGTTCAAAAAAAGATGAAAACAAAATTTTATTAAAGAAAATTAAATTATTTTCACTCGAATCAAGTTGTGGACGAATTAAGTTTTACGTATTAAAATTACAAGTCGTTGATATAGGAGTTCAAATTGTGAATGAGTATTTTTAATTTCTTTGTTATTCGTCGTTACTAATTTGCCCTTTTTCCAATCATATGTATCCCTCATCATATATCTTATCTATACTATTAATAATAATAAAAAATCCTCTATTTTAACTTCTCGCTGAAAATAGTCATACTATACTATTAAAATTTGAGTAATATTGTCAAATAGTGTTGATGAATATATTATAGACGAACCCAACCAAACTGACCAGAGGAGAAGTGGAGGTGACCCGGAGGATGACCCAGGCTGGGGGCCGCCCCAACCTGAGGTGGCCTCAGCTAGAGGCATCTTCGGCCCGGGGTGCCTCGGCTAGAGGTGTCCTCGGCCCAGGGTGCCTTCGGCTAGAGGTGACCTCGGCCTGAGGTGCCCTCGGATCGGGGTGCCCTCGACTAGAGGCCAGGCGACCTCAGCCTGGGGTGCCCTTAGCCTTGTTCTATACACGTGTGGGCTCGGTCAACAAGATCCAACCACCCACCTTATTCTCATGGGGCGGTTAGGAGGAAGCTTAGTATAAAAACACCCATTATTGTCTTGTTATGGCATCTCTTATCTTTCTAATTCACTTATCCAAAAATTACATCTACTTGTAATCTTCCTACAAACACTACATTAATACAAGAATTGTCTCCGTGACATATATTCATTGTTTTTTCCTACTTTATTATTTATTCTTTATTTATCGGGTTTAGTAATTCGGGCTACCCCGGGTAATTAAATCCGTCATTGGTGCTTTCATTAAGAGCTCGACATACAAACTCGAGCGTGCTCCCTATTCTACTAGCTATGACAAGAACGAGATCACCCTCTCTTGATTCAAACTGTTCCCACAACACTCGTTGCACCCCGAGCGGGAATGGCCTCAACAGGATCGCTAGTCGGGACCAAACCCTTTTCGTGAGGTCGGCGGGGGACCTACCGGGCCGTCTCAACTACAACCACAATGGTGGGTCGCCTCCTACCGCTCCCCTTGTGACACCCCGTAAATCTAAATGCTAATTGGGATTAATTAAGAAATTAATCCTAACCTTCCTTGGTAATTTCTTCATAAAAATCCTGAAATTTAATAGTCGAGAGACTAGAATTTGACTTGTCACTTAAGTCAAATAAGTGTACCTTATGCTTTATGGTTTGTACCTTTACCCTCTTGTTTTTCCAACCTTAGTAAGGGTAAAAGTGACCTTTCACCCATGAATTTTTGATCAAGCTATCCCTAGCAAGTCATTCCTTTCATTCTCTCATACTAGCCTAAATCGCAAACACTCCATCATCCTTTAAAAAGAACCTAGCTTATTCTTCAAGCAAAAAGGAGAACCTTCTTGCTTTGCAAGATCCCACTCCAAGATTCCTACTTTCTTCTTCCCAAGCATAGGAAGGGATAAGGTTCATAGCTATTTAGTGTTTTTAGTCATCTTTTGGGTGTCTTTATCTAAGATAGAATCTTTCTTGTGTTTTGGCTTGTGTAAGAAGTTGGTGGAGAAGAGGAACTCGAAGAAGAGGCTTAGGAGGGCGAAAAGGAGAAGTTGTTAAGCTACAAAGGTAACACATGTTATACAAAACCTATTTTCTTACCTAAATGATGATTATTGGCTTCTATTTGATGTTCTTGATGTGATTTCTGAAATTTGATGCATGATCTTGTGATGGTGCATGTCTAGAGCTTGTATTTAGGTTTCTTGAATGCCATTGCTTGGTTATTTCTTGGGTTCAAGTCATATCTTTGTTGTGTGTGAGATTTTGGGTGTTTTGGAGTTGAACTTGGCTTTGTTAATGAATTTCCCCGAAGGGAAAATTGGTGTATAGGTAGTGTACCCCGCGGGCAGGCCCACGGGCGGGGGCTTACCCGTGGCCCCACCCGCGGGGAACGTTTGTTGATGGTGCAGGGATTTGTTCTTCTTCTTGGTATTGATGTTTTGACCTCCCGTTGTTGGATTATTGAGCTATTTGTGAGTCTTCTTGATGTTTTGTATGTCTAGAACGATGAGTTAGGAGTCCATGTTAGGATTTGGTGTCTTGATTAGTGCTAAGGGTCCAACCTTGTGATTCGTTGGGCTAATATGAGTCTTGAAGGTTCGTTGGAACCATTTTGGTTTACCCACTTGATGAGCATGCTAGTTTGATGTTGTTATGCTAGTATGTGTGGTTTGTTCCTTCTTATTGGGGTTGGCAACTTGCGTTGTCAATCATTTTGATGTTGGGTTGTAATCCTTGATTGTTGAGTATTGTCTCATGACTTCGTTGAAATCTCTTGATTGATTCATATGGTGTGATCTTGTACAAATTGTTGTGCTTAGTTGGGGAGCGCGCTAGCCGACGTTGGTAACTAGTGTAGTTCCCCTTCCTTTAGTTGTTATGTTTTGGGCCTGTGAGCCTTAGTTAGATGTGGCCTGTGTGCCTTAGACAATATGTTGATTATGTTGGATTTTTGTAGACTTAGCCTGTGCATCCATAGTTTTATGGGTGTGGCATAACACCTTTCCCGGTTTATAATAGCCTCCGCTTTATGTTGATTGATGTTTAGTTTGCTTATCTTTGAATTTAAGGTTTAAAAATGTTGGTAAAATCGGGGGTGTTACACCCCTTCCAGCCCGGGCCTCCAAGAGTGGGTGGTCGCCATCTAACAAGCCACCACTGCATTGACCTGGCTCGTGGTGGGGCTCTGAAGAGGTGTTCGATACCCACATTCGGCCCCTAGGTCTCCCAAGGAACGCCAACCTCCACCCGCCGACCTTGAGGGAGCTCGGTGGGCCGAGCACTGGGTTACCTCGACCCCTGGGAGCTTGATAAGTACCAAAGATGCTTCATTTAATGAGTTATTTAAGAGGCATATTGTGCTATAATTGGAGTCCTTTGAGCCCATTTTATGTATAGAATAGCTTACTTTTGATAAAAGTTAGGAGCAATGACTAATTGTGATTGCCTTTGAGGAAATAGCAAAACATTGTCATTTGTAGGGCATTCCAGCGACAGTTCGGTAATTGGAGCATATCTTGAGGTTCGAGTGTCCAAATGAGGTTATTCAAGTTTCTATGGAACAAAAACTTCAAGGGCTACAACTTTGGTTAAGATAAAAATGGCTAATTCCCTACAGAGAGTTCCATGCACAAGTCCAACGTGCGTGGGCCGTGTGTGGACGGGAAGCAGAAAGTCCAACGCGCGCTGGAGATTTAGTTGGACTTTCTGCGCGGGAATTTCAAAATATTAGCCTATTTAAAGGATTTTAATGGGACTATTTAGGGGAGACTTTTAATCTTTCATTTTCCTCTTTTAGAAATCAGATTTCTTAGCTTAGACTAGGGTTAGATCTTGCTAGGATAGATACTCATTGCTAAACAACTCTTGAAGATTGGATCACAATTGGATTGAAGATTGGGTAACCCTACTTTCTTAAGCTTTCAATTCTTTATCCTATTGTGTTATCTTGAATCTCTTTCATTGTGTTCTCAATCTATTAATGATGATGAGTTGCTAGACTTCCAGGATTTGGATTGGATTTGATTTATGATTGTGTATTCATGCTTTGTAGAGGTGTGCATTTGGATCTCTCTCCATTGAGAGCTCCAATGGTTATAGTGCTGGAGGTGCTTGTGTTTCCTATGCCTTGGAGAATTTTCCGCAAAAGATTGCAAAAGCAATCTTCCTTTGTGGTACAATGGTGTCTGATGTGTTTGCTGAAGAGGTGCAAATTTATTACTTCATTATACTTGATCTAGGATTCCTGAATAATGACTAAATGAGTGCTGTGGTCATTAGTGGAAATTCTTCAATGGTTTCTTAGAAATGATAAATGCTTTTCAGTTAGTCTCCAGTTCGGTTAAAGAGAGTTGACTCAAACTATTTACAATTCAATTTTTTTAATTAATTAATTTAATATTAAGGGGTAATCGTACTTTTGGTCCCTCAATTAGTGTCCATTCTGCATTGTCATCCTTAGTTCTTAATTTGAACACATTTGGTCCCTCAATTATTCAATCATTAAGTAGATTTGGTCCTTCTGTCTGTATGGTCGTTTAACACCGTTTAAAGCATGGGTAAAAGTGAAATTTCACACAGCATTGTTTGTAATAAGTAGGGGAAATCGCACTTCTGGTCCCTCAATTAGTGCCCAATCTGCAATATCATCCTTAATTAGTTCTCAATTTGAACACAATTGGTCCCTCAATTATTTGACCATTAAGCAAATTTGGTCCTTCTGTGAGACCATCAGTTTAACTCCGTTTAAATCAGAGGTATAATTGAAATTTCACATGAGTACGAATTGAAAGTAGTCTAGCCATCAACATAACTGTGATTTCCGGTGATGATGGTCTGGTTAATGCCGTCGCCGATCATCATCAAGTATTTCTTGTTCTTGGCAATGGAGACGTATTCCTCGTACACGCCGGCAATCACGTATACGGGGAAGTAGCCGTCGTCAGACAGAGTGTTGTTGGGAGCAGCGGCGACGTCGTCATTAATGGTGGTAAAATTTCCACTCCCATCTTGACTCAAAACCACAATGTCAGTCACCAGAACCTGGTCATCTTCCTGAGTTTGCAGGAGCTTTCTCCGACTAACTCGCTCAAAAATCGCCTTCGTCCGTTCCGACATCTTCAGAGGTAAACGCCCATTTCGGAACCCAAGCTGTTTCTTGGTCGGATGCCAAGCTCCGGCGCCGGCGACCTTCTTCTTCCTCGGCACCCACCCTTTAGTGAACAGAGCCAGAGAATTATATAAATTATATGAAAAATAGTTTAAAATAGTTACTCCGTATATAAAATCCTTACAGAAAAATATATAAATTATATGAAAATTTTAAAGAAACTTTGTGAACAAATAATGGTTGCTGTGACTTTCAAACAGTAAACATGATATTAGTAAAATAGGACAAGGGGTACTAGTCTGAGTTTAATATGCCAATAAATGTTCCCTTCAAATTAAAGTTTTTTTGGTTCTGAATTGATCCCTTGACATGCCACCTGCAGCAGATTACAACCATCCATTTATCTTGATCTACCAGTCAAACATTTTAAAGCAACAGTTTTGATTTTATAATAGGAGTCCTTTTTTTGGAATCTGTTAGTATCCTTCTCCTGGTTGTTGTCTTTGCCAGTTAAATATCCTTACGAGGAATCTCTTTTGCAGCTTGGGTCTGCAGAACTTTTCATGCAAGAATCCAAGTTTCTAATCCATGGTAATGGTAAAGATAAGCCAGCTACTGGGTTCATGTTTGAGAAGGAGCAGATGGCTGGGTTATATTTCAATCAATCTCCGACAAAGGTACTGTTGTCTTTTACTATTAAGTGCGAGTTAAATTGAAAACATCATGGTGTTATGATATGTAGAAGGGACTATATATATCATGAATGCGTAATTTTGTGGTTTCAGGATATTGCTTTGGCAAACGTTTCAATGAGACCAATCCCTCTTGGTCCAATGATGGAGAAGCTGTGTTTGACCCCCGAAAACTATGGAACCAGTCGGAGATTCTATGTCCAAACATTGGATGATCACGCTCTTTCTCCCGATGTCCAAGAAAAGCTGGTCAGGGAAAACCCTCCAGAAGGAGTCTTCAAGATCAAAGGCAGCGATCATTGCCCGTTCTTCTCAAAGCCACAATCGTTGCATAAAATTTTACTTGAAATTGCTCAGTTTCAGTAGGACCGACTTGATTTCTTCACGAGAATACATGAAATTGCTTGGGTTCAATAGGATTTGATAACTTCAGAAGAAATACTGATTCTTTTCCATACAAAAAAAAAAAAAAAAGTAAAATTTGTACATAAACTGAAAATTTTATTGAATAGAAAAAAAAAAAAAAAAAAAGTGTTATGCTAGTCATGCACTAAAGTGACAAAAAGAAAACTAATATCAAAAGGCTTTTAGAGAAAATTAAGATTTTGGTCCCTCAATTGTTTCTCAATTGTTAATGTAATTCCAAGTTCTCAACTTTAACCAATTTGATCCTCAAATTGTTTAAAAGTTTGTCAATTAAAACTCTTTCATGGACCAAATTGATGAAATTTAAAAAATTTGAAAATTACCATTTTGGTCCCTGAAAGGATTTAATTGAAGAAATTTTAAACAATTTAAGAATCAAATTAGTTAAAATTAAAAATTAAGAACTATATTAACAATCGGGAAACAAATGAAAGGACCAAATGGTGGTTAACTCAAAGTTCTTATGATAATGGAGGCGGTAGGGGAGAGCAAGATGGAGACTTTAATAAATTTATTATTAAAATTTATTATACATTATTTAAAAATTATTAAAAATGCCAACTCAGCTGTCACATAAGTAGGTAACCTGTTAAAATTGATGGTAACCTGCTATCATGCGAAATTGCATACATTTGGAGTGTTCAGTGGACTAATTGCACTTTTTTCACTAAGTGGCCTAATTACATTTTCAGGTTACGTTAAGTCACCAATTTGGACCTTATTCCCATTTAATTTTTTTTTTTTTGAATGCTTATTCCCATTTAATTTAATGCATCAGCAGTTGGCAGAAAAGAAGAAGCAGTTGTCAACAAAAAATATTGACTTTTAGGATGATATGCATAGACCAAATGAAATTCCAAGGACGATTAGATGAGAACTGATCACCAAAAAAGATAATTAACAACTCTTCACATAATATCCACCCTTTTCATCCCACCTCTAGATCCATGAGTCAAAAGGTTTACGTATACTAACTGGAATATTCATAGTAAGGGAAGCATCGGTGCATCACGCTCATTAAAAATTTGTCTACGCATTCTTTATACCAACCCATACCCTGAATATCAAATAAAGAGCATATCTGTGCCACATAATAGATTGTGGTAGATCACCCTGCACAAAAGGATTGTTTGGATCCGGCAGCCATGAGACATCTGCAATTAATAAATTAAATTTATAGTTTTTTTAAAAAAAATTTTACAAATTTGATCATTTACTTTCTCTACATTATTATCAAATGTCACCCATAAATTAAGATAAATGTTTTTAATATTATTCTTAATACATGGGATAAGAAAACAATTACATGAATCGTGTGAAAAGAAATCCCAATCATATTTGTAAATAGAAGCTATCACAGATCATAAGGTAAACAACCAACGTCTCCAACCCAAGTTGAAATCAAGGTAACAATGACACCTTTCATTCTGCACACAAAATTAAATGTTTTTTTATTAAATTAAATTTAAGGGTGTGTTTGATTCATGGGTTTAGCTATTAGGAATGAGAATCAACGTCATTGTTATTGTTTGGTTGTCAGGTTTCTAAAATACTATTATGAGATTTGATTACCCTATTAATTAGAAAACTCATTCCCTAATAAAATAAGGGTTTCATTCCATTATTTCCCCTCCTAATTTGTAATTTGATTTTTAACTTTGGATTAGTGCCTTTTATATTTTTGTTTTATGTTTTTAATTTTTTATTTTGTTCATATTGATGTGTGGGATCTCTTTATAATAAAATAAATTGTCTTGATTTTGTGTTCTTATATTATTAAAATCTTTATTCCCATTATAGGATCATACATAACCAAACATCAATATTGGTAATCATTCAAATTCCACACTATTACCAAACATGCAAAATACTTTCACCAAAATTCATTATCATTACTAAGTGTTTAATTACTATTCTGATTCAAATTCCCATTCGTGAACCAAACACACCCTAAAATTATATTATACTTAAAAGAAATCAAAAGTATAGTGGATTCAGGATTGCACATCCATAATAATTCTTACAAAATTTTAGAAAAAAAATAGAAAGAAGGAGAAAAACTAAAAAAAAAAAAAAAAAAAAAAAAAAAAAACAATAAATTAAAAAAAAAAAAAAAAAAAGGGTTCCAAGAGAAAGAAAAAGAGAATCATCACATGGACTTAATAGATCATAGGGTGTGGTTGGTTCGCATATGGGAATCGGAATTGGAATAGGAATTAAATACTTGGTAATGGTATGAGTTTTGATGAATGTATTTTGTATGTTGGGTAGTCGGGTAGAATTAGAATGATTACCAATATTGATGTTTGGTAATTAATGTATGACCCTATAATGGGAATAAAAGTTTTTAAAATACAAAAACAAAAAATAAAGACAATTATATTGATCATAATATAATGACATTCAAAGCAACAATATGAACAAAAAAAAAAAAAAAAATCAATACAAAAATCTAAAAGCACTAATCCAAAGTTAAAAATCATATTACCAATAAGATGGACAGATACCTTTTTAATTAGGAAATGCGATTTTTAATTGAAAGGGTAATCAAATTTCATAATGTGTTTTAAAAAGTTGTTAACCATTGTTTAAAAAAAAAAATTGTTAACCAAACACTAAGTATACTTTTGATTCACATTTCTAGAGTGTAAACCCATGAACCAAACACATCCATAATTTTATTATTTTCATTTTAAATCTGATATAGTGATATAGCATCAATTCTTTTAGATTTTTGCTAACCATTTTTCTAATTTTTAGTCATGGAAAAAAACCTTTTAATTTTTAAAATTTGATTTTGTTTTTCAAATAATCGTAGCCCTAGCCCCTAAGAGTTAGGACTAACGGCTCATTTTTCGGAAGGTATTTAAAACAAACCCCCATTCAAATATGCAATCCCAACCTCTCTCAGTCTCTCTGTTCTCTCTCTCTCTCTCCCTCTCTCCCTCTCTCAGAGCTTTCGAGATAAGATTGCCTAGAGACTAGGTCCTCTTCTTCGCCAGGATTATTGAGATCGTCTGTGGTCAGAATTATGAGGAAGAAAATATCGGTTAATGCTTTAAATCTTTAATGAGGTTTGTTTTGCAAACTCGAATCCTAGTTTTTCTTCTTAGGAAATTATTACGATAGTTTGATTATAAATAAATAAATAAATATGTTGTAGTTTCAACTTTTTGAAAATTCATCTCTTTTATAGATGAAACTTGAAATTTTCCTTGGGTTTCATTTGTTTTTACAATCACAAAACAGATTTTAGTATTTTTTTTCCCCAGTATTTGCAAGATTATATAACAGTGATATAATTACAATAATTAATTAATCACTGAATGCGATCATCTTAATGTATCTTGAATGAATAGGGATTCCCATTCCTGTTTTGGTTTTTTTTTTTTTAATATTAAATTCCAATTATTTTTTTTTAATATTAAGTTCTATTTATTTATTATTTATTTATTTTTACAATCGGTAAAGATTAAGGATATACGGGAATGCTTTAGATTAGTTAACAACGAATCCTCATGATTATCTCACAGAAGAATTACAATGAATTTTTTTAAATTTTCTTTACCGCTGAAGAAAAAGGCTTGTAGCTTTACCTAGAAATATTGTTAGCCTTTTACTTCAGATTTAGTGACATACCTAGTAACTCTAGCTTAGGACTCCTAAATTTTACTAATCTAAAGCATTCCCGTAAATTAGATATTTGGTCTCCGGGTTGCATTTTCAAACTAACCTATGTCAAGGCATGATGATTTGTGAAACTGAAGAGTCATATTTGACTCTTTCAAAGTATAAATTATAAAATTTTAGGGAGCTTATTGACAAATGTTTGAGGTTCTGCTACAAAATACAGCTTTGGAAATAAAAATACATCTTGAGGAACTGATAAATTGTTTGAGCTCTTTGCATTGGGATCCTCTCTACAAATTCCACATGCAAAGTGTTATCTTAAATTACTGTTCTTAATTGCAGTTTGAATGTTGGATGCTCTGTGCCTGCATTCACACATCAATTGTCATTGTGTGTTTATATAACTTTCATAGTTAAATGTTTATATGTGACATAAGTGTGTGCATACATATGGATTAGTTGAGAATTTGATTGAATTATTTTCACTTACCTGCCAATTAATTGTCTTCCCAAATTGCATTTAGAGAAAATAGTGCCAATCCCTTTACTCACCTTAGCTATGATGCATAGATCTACTCTCCAGTCTCCATGCATGCTTTTCCATTCTTGTGATGGAATTTGAACGCTCTGAATAAGTTTTTTTGTTCTTCTGTCAACAGTTGAGCTTCAATACTTGTTAATGTATAATTAATAAAGTAATAAATAATATAAATGTCTATAGGGACCAACCAAGTTTGAACCGGTGACCTCTTGACCTACCGTCAAATGCTCTACCACTGAGCTATGTGATGACGTGAGAGGTCAGTCAGACAGATATATCGAAGATTGTTTGTCGAGGAAAAACTAAAAGCAGACAGTAAAACCACACAAACGATGTTTACCCAGTTCGATACAGTGTGTATCTACGTCTGGGGGACGATCACCGAGGCGTCCAATCCACTAACTCATAATCCAATGTACAAAGGTAGAGAAACAAGAATCTCACCCAAGTATCCCACACAAGGTACGTACCCAGTCTACAAAGGTTTAGTGGATTGTTGAAGACGGAGAGCCACGCATGTAGAAGTCCAACGAAATCCCTTCGGTTGGAGAGCTAACTCTGATGCAGTCCGCTTCAATGACGCAGTCTCACGTTGTTCTCACAACTGAGTGATCTTCGCGTCCTTTCGTTTAAGCAACGATAGTTCTTCTCAAGCTCTTCATCATAATCACCTAGAACATATATTCTTGAGAAGAGGCATAATCAAAGATGTAATCTTCTGTATAGCAAAGAGTGTTTTTTGTCTTCTTAAAACGTAACCCTAATTCATGACCGAATGAGGGTACTTATACTTCCTTAGAAAAACCACTTTCTAAAAATATCATTGATTGTAGATGGTAGGACGATTTGTGAAGAATGCAATCTTAGAGATTCGG